TGGTTATTCTCTGAGTCCCCTGTACATGAGTTAACATAAAATCTTTCAGATCAAAGAAAAGTTTAACCAGACCAAAAAAAAAAAAAAAAAAAACTTGTCAGTAATGACTGTTTTCTTCCCGGTCCGTTGCACTCGTCCTCCACCTCACTGCTTCATGTTGAGTTCTGGAGGTAATGAGGCATTCTGTAGCTGGGAAATGGTTCAAGATCTTGAAAGGCAACTGTAGCCAGCTGACCGACTCCATCCCTCCCCACATCGCCCCCACCTCGTTTAGTTCCTGAGCATGCTTGAACTGACCCCGTCAGTGAAAAGACACTTTCATTCCCTTCTTCTGGTGCTTGGCTCTGCAGGAGAATGAGAGGGAGTTTGCAGAGGGACAATACAGTAAGCCARCGCTGGCTGGGACGCGCGGTGTGAGGTCTCTGTGTGTTCGACTAACAGAGAGGCCATTCTCACAGTTCAACTGCTTTCACCGGTCCCACGCCAGCGTTGCTCCTGACTTTCATGATGCAGCAAAGCACATGCGTTTCCGCGTGCTGAATCATATCACCTCCACTGAAACACCCTTTTAAGCCATAAAGATATCAGAGGAACGTAGTAAGCAGTATATTGTGGAAACAATGAATGAATTATCTTGTGACTACAGAATTCTGTCAATAAAAGACTGGCTGATTGTGTGCTGATGTGGCTTGTGGGCGTCTGAAGGGTCTCGTTTTATTAGGTAAAACATAATTCGAAAAAAGTTCAAAAGTATTTGAATTTTAGAGAATTGTGTACAGTTTATTTACACATAAAAATTATTACCTTAAGTGTTTCTGATCTTATGTACTAGATCTGTTAGACTCTTAACCTCTCATCTTTCTGTGTGGGTTGGCAATAAAACAAATACTTTGACCTTTGACCTGTGTGTGAATGAGAGGGAGGCAGGTGGAACAAGGATCAGAGGTGCAGGACTTCAATGTCGGGTCGACTAGTTCTCTTGTAAACAAGAAAAAAAAAGGGAAAAACTCATCAAATTTGCAGTTAAACATGACAAAAAAGAAATGAGAGCATGTTTATTACATTTTGTACCAAGTTTCAGTCAATTAACCAAAATAAATTACTGCTCAATAAAAAAAAAGAAAAGCAAAGTTGTATCTGCTGCTGTGTCCTTAAAATTGATTTTATGTAATCACTTAAAAGAGAAAACAAGCTTGACTGCAGAAGAACCGAGAGGACTTTCTGTTACGATGTGCTGATAAAATTGACAAATTCTACAACTTTTTAAAACAATATTTGTCAGCGTGAAACCACAAGATAATTTGGTGATCAGTTTTTTTTATATTTGTGAAAAGCCAGTCCTGTCTGGAAAATGAAATCACTCAGCTACGTCTTTCAGGCTTCTCACTGGCTGATGCTCTTACAAACAAAAAACTTTAGCCACCATGGGATGAATTAAGTTATTGACTAGAACTACCAGACCTCTGTCATTTGGCAGTTATAACTCTAAATCCCAGGGAACTGCCACATGGTAGATGTGAAAAGCCCTTCTTGCCTCCATGTTATGTAAATGAGGCCATTACATTTGCAAGAAGTAAAGGACGCTCTAGTCAGCAACATGTCTCCATGGAGCCCAGAGAGACTTCAGTGTAACTCCTGTAACTATGACCCCACCCCACCCCCAAAAAATGTCAACATTACCAGAAATTTAGATTCAAGATTCAAAGCTTTATTTTATTGTACATCTTAGACATTCACACATGTAGGAACTTAAGGTGGGCACTCATGGCTATGGGTGGCCGGATGGCACCACTCTCGCCTCCTGTGCCTGTGCCCACGCCCCAAGGTTTGCATATAGACACTTAGGGTTTTGGGTTAGAGTAGTGGTGGAGGGGAAACTGGCACCA